CCAGGACGCTGAAGAAGCACACACACACACACGGGAGACTGGCGCGCAAGGGGACTTGTGGCCACTGGAGACTGACTGGACTGGAGACTGACTGGACTGGAGACTCAGGTCAGGTCCATAACAAATAAAGCAGTGTTGTGGTGATCTGGGAGAAAAGATCGCCTCTCGTGTCATGCCTGTTCGAGCCTCCGTGGGGAAGGTTTGGGTTGCTTGTATATACTGAGGTGTAGATGTTCATTTGTTTCTGCGTAACTCCCCTAGAGGAACACCTGACTATTGTCACTTAGATGAGCTTTACAGGGGCGAGCTTCAGCTCCTAATCTCCATCTTTCCGGCGTCTATCTTACGGTATTTTGCCTTATACAATCTTAGTACAACGTTTGTTTTTAGCATATCTGTTACTCACTTGTCTCTCACATTTCCATCGATGTCCCCTCGTTCGGCTGTGTCCCCTCGTTCTGCTGTGTCCCCCTCGTTCGGCTGTGTCCTCTCATCCGGCTGTGTCCCCTCGTAATGTTTTTCACTGTGTCTTATTCTTCTCTATATCAGGACAAGTCTTCATGTCTGCCTTGGTATTTTATCCAATTATATATTGTTTCTCGAGTTACCCGTGTACCGGGTGGACCGGGTGGACCGGGGCGAGTCTCACATTGTTGCCTGCGTCTCTCAACCTCATCCGGACACACATACAGGTAATCCGGACACACATATACAGGTAATCCGGACACACATATATACAGGTGATCCGGACACACACATATACAGGTAATCCGGACACACACATATACAGGTAATCCGGACACACACACATATACAGGTAATCCGGACACACATATACAGGTAATCCGGACACACATATATACAGGTAATCCGGACACACATATACAGGTAATCCAGACACACACACATATACAGGTAATCCGGACACACACATATACAGGTAATCCGGACACACACATATACAGGTAATCCGGACACACACACATATACAGGTAATCCGGACACACACATATACAGGTAATCCGGACACACATATACAGGTAATCCAGACACACATATACAGGTAATCCGGACACACACACATATACAGGTAATCCGGACACATATATACAGGTAATCCGGACACATAGAGGTTTGTGAAGGCTGTGGACCATATTCTGGGGAACATGTCTCCCACGTCATGTCTCCTCTCAACTAATCGGTCGTATTTTGTACGTTGTGGTAAGCTTCGTTACAAATGTAACATGCCGTTAAAACGCAACTATTCGCATATTATCCACGTTTTCTGTGCATTGGTAGATTGCGTTACGTTACGTTACGTTAGGTGGGTTGCTTGGGTTTGTACGTTTAAGATTATGTTAGGAGGTTGGATTTTTTACGTTGAGGTAAATAACAACAATATGAGGTGTCTCCTTCAGTGTGTACGGGAGGTTCTGTAGCGCAGTGGGCGACACAGTCAGCTAGCAATCGAATGCTCCTGGGTTGGATTCCCGCGATGGGCGAGAGGTTTTTGTCACCTTTCCATACACCCTGATGCCCCTGGTGGATTGTTCATTCCTGGTGGATTGTTGTTCATTTCTGGTGGATTGTTCATTCCTGGTGGATTGTTCATTCCTGGTGGATTGTTCATTCCTGGTGGATTGTTCATTCCTGGTGGATTGTTCATTCCTGGTGGATTGTTCATTCCTGGTGGATTGTTCATTCCTGGTGGATTGTTCATTCCTGGTGGATTGTTCATTCCTGGTGGATTGTTCATTCCTGGTGGATTGTTCATTCCTGGTGGATTGTTCATTCCTGGTGGATTGTTCATTCATGGTAGATTGTTCATTCATGGTGGATTGTTCATTCATGGTGGATTGTTCATTCATGGTGGATTGTTCATTCATGGTGGATTGTTGTTTATTCCTGGAGGATTGTTCATTCCTGGTGGATTGTTCATTCATGGTGGATTGTTCATTCCTGGTGTATAATTGGGAATGAGGTATGAGGATAAGGATTTGGGATGGGACGGGGGGTAAGGATTGATGTCCCAACCACTTGTGGACGGTCGGGGCTTGAACGCCGACCTGCATGAAGCGAGACCGTCGCTCTACCGTCCAGCTTAAGTGGTTGGGAGAATCAGTGGTCACTGTAAAGGTGTGGTCGCACAATCTGTTCTCTCGAATGATGCGTCGCAATTTGACGTCAAAATCCCCCAACGGACCAAATTTGATGTATTATGATGCATAGCGGCTCCCATCACCTCTCTACGTGGGTCCCCGGTTAGGTTAGGTTAGGTTAGGTTCGTAGAATTTGGTACATCATTTTAGTGACGTTGTCTCACACCGCAAGATGACCTGTGTATAACACCTGAACAACTACCAATGTTCTACACCCTCCTATACTGAACAAATCCACAAGGGCCCGTGACGAGGATTCGAACCTGCGTCCGAGAGCATTCCTCCTATACTGTTCTTCAGTCCCTGAACCTATTTTTCCTCCCCGTGTTCTACTCCTGCCTAAGAATGTCGCTATCGGGAACAGTTATCTCTATTTTACAGTTGAAATTGTATTGTTGTGTCGAAAGAGGACCTGGTATGCACAGAGCTACTTGTTCTCCAGTCCCACAGCACCGCTCTTGTGCCAGGTAAGTCCACTACGGGCTCACCATAGCCCGTGCTACTTGGAACTTGTTCCGAGTAGCTTAATCTATAACAACAACAATTGTTCTCCCGTGTTGTGGGCGGGCAGGAGAGGGCGCTGGTGCACAATGTGTCAGAGGGCGTCATCGTCAGCAACCAGAGCTTGGTGCTGCAGAGGGTGACCAGAACCCAAGCTGGACGCTACGCTTGTCTGGCGCACAACGCCGTCGGCGCCGGACTCTCAAACACACTCACCCTCGACGTTAAGTGTGAGTACATTTACTGGGGGCAAGGGTGGAGTGCATTAAGTACGGGGAGTGTGTGCCGCATGTGTCGAGTGGGGTGTTGAGTGTGTCTAGTGTGTATTGAGTGCGTGTCGATCTAAATATTTTCCATTGGATCGTGTAGTAAATTTTTGGAACTGTTTACCGAGGGATATAATTCTAAGTAACACTGTATATACATTTAAAAAATACATTAACCATTTACGGCCATCTTAGTTGCAGGCTTTATTTACATTGTTCGAACCACCATATGCTTTCCATTAAAAAAAGAAACGGATTTATGTCTGTTGTTACTTGAATTAAGTTGTAAACCATTTGTAAATATGAAAACATACTTCATATCCTCGTATGGAGCAACACTAATGAACATGCTTTAGTTAACAAAATCATTGACAAAAGATATATCCTAATTTTGCTAAGTCGGCTCATGCCCGAATGGACCTGGGTTCAATCCCCTGAGGGTTTTGGACATTTCTTTACACCTAATGCCTCTGTTTACCTAGAAGTAAATAGGTATTCTTGAGTTAGTCAACTGTTGTAGGTTGACTGTTGATATGATCAGGAGGTGAACCTGGATAAGTAAAACAGATTTCCTTTCCACAACAGTTAAAAATATCAGAGTAACACTGAAACAGAGTTTCAGAGATCTGAAAGTTCTCGAAGATATGAAAGTTCTCGAAGATCTGAAAGCTCTCAAAGATCTGGAAGTTCTCGAAGATCTGAAAGTTCTCGAAGATCTGAAAGTTCTCGAAGATCTGAAAGTTCTCGAAGATCTGAAAGTTCTCGAAGATCTGGAAGTTCTCGAAGTTCTCGAAGATCTGAAAGTTCTCGAAGATCTGGAAGTTCTCGAAGATCTGAAAGCTCTCGAAGATCTGGAAGTTCTCGAAAATCTAGAAGTTCTCGATCTGGAAGATCTGGAGTTTCAGGAAGTCCAATGGAAAACCATAAGTAAGATGTTGCCTTGTCGTCCACAGATGCACCAGTGTGCTCGCCTGGTCAAGTGACGTCCTACGCCGTAGAGCGCTACGAGGACGCCGAAGTGACCTGCTCCGTGGAGGCCAACCCCATCCAGGAGTCCTTCCAGTGGACGTTTAACAACACGGCCGACACCATTGACGTGCCCCACGGCCGCTTCAGCACCCTGGCCAGCCACAGCGTCATCACCTACACGCCCATGACCGCCTTCGACTACGGCACCCTCCTGTGCTGGGCCACCAACGAGATCGGAGACCAGAAGGAGCCATGTGTCTTCCATATCGTGCCCGCAGGTGAGGTGGTCGCACGAGGGAGGGGAAGTGAAGATGGTACTTTTGATAAATATGGAAAAGAACCTGTCTTTGGGTAAACTTAGTGAGAGGGGGACTCAATTCCTGCAACAAGAAACCTCTTAGGCTAGTTCGCCGTCAAGGTCCGCGCATCAACCCCGTGATCTCTGCCCTCAGGTAAGCCGGAGCCGCCGGGTAACTGCACGCTTGGGGCCAGGACTCGTACCTCCGTCAGAGTGCAGTGTGTGGCGGGCAGCAGCGGCGGCCTGCCCCAGCACTTCCTCCTGCAGGCCAGGTCGCAGGCGCCTCAACACCACCATCAGCTTAACTTTACCTCCACCTCCCCGGAGTTCTACGTGAGTTACTCATCGTCCTTATCTCTCACATGTACAGCTCTCAACGTTTGAAACTGTGTATGGAGTCAGCCCCCACCACATCACTGTCTAATGCATTCCATTAGACAGTGTGTGTGTGTGTGTGTGTGTGTGTGTATACTCATCTATTTGTACTCACCTATTTGTGCTTGCGGGGGTTGAGCTCTGGCTCTTTGGTCCCGCCTCTCAACCGTCAATCAACAGGTTTTTTTGTGTGTGTGTGTGTGCGTGTGTGTGTGTGTGTGTGTGTGTGTGTGTGTGTGTGTGTGTGTGTGTGTGTGTGTGTGTGTGTGTGTGTGTGTGTGTGTGTGTGTGTGTGTGTGCGTGTGTGTTCCTCCATACAGTTATTATATTCACCAGTCTTACCTGTGTTAATACCTTCATCATCTCCTGTTAATCACCAGCACTGAGGGACGTGTTCTGATTCTCCTCACCTCCGTAACTTCACGATTTAACTCTGTTCTGCAGCGCTGCAGATGTTTGAAATGCCATTAAGCATAGTTCCCCCGCTCTCTCTCTCTCTCTCTCTGTCTGTCTGTCTCTCTCTCTCTCTCTCTCTCTCTCTCTCTCTCTCTCTCTCTCTCTCTCTCTCTCTCTCTCTCTCTCTCTCTCTCTCTCTCTCTCTCTCTCTCTCTCTCTCTCTCTCTCTCTCTCTCTCTCTCTCTCTCTCTCTCTCTCTCTCTCTCTCTCTCTCTCTCTCTTATCTATCTCTCACTCACATACTGAATCCTAATTTATTTTCTAGTATGGAGCGATAACCATACGTGGTACAGGGATATAACCTGTGTAGCCTCCTGCCACAAGGCGCAATACTTCTTTTAAACTCTAATACCCAGAGTTTAGACATAATATTACGCCCTTCCTAAATGGTTTATCTGCAGTGTGTTAATATACACACTACAAGGTCTCTCTTTCCTCACACTAGCTGTCATTGTAATGGTATATGAGGTGTGTGTGTGTAATTAAATATGAGGAGTGTAGATCTTTTGTAGTAACTTACGTCATCTATGCCCCTGTTACCTAGCAGTAAAATAGGTACCTGGGTGTTAGTCAGCTGTCACGGGCTGCTTCCTGGGGGTGGAGGCCTGGTCGAGGACCGGGCCGCGGGGACACTAAAAAGCCCCGAAATCATCTCAAGATAACCTCAAGATAAGAAGATCTAGCATCAAATGGGGGGGTGTTATTTAAGATCTTTAGTGAGCTGTGTAATAGTTTGTGCTACTGCTCGCAGGATCTTGGTTATCTTGAGATGATTTCGGGGCTTTAGTGTCCCCGCGGCCCGGTCCTCGACCAGGCCTCCACCCCCAGGAAGCAGCCCGTGACAGCTGACTAACACCCAGGTACCTATTTTACTGCTAGGTAACAGGGGCATAGGGTGAAAGAAACTCTGCCCATTGTTTCTCGCCGGCGCCTGGGATCGAACCCAGGACCACAGGATCACAAGTACAGCGTGCTGTCCGCTCGGCCGACCGGCTCCCCCTTGCCTTGTCATGCCTGGTTTGCAGTGTTGTTAGTCCTGTGGATCTCAACCATTCCTGGCGTGAGAGTTGAAATTGAAATTGAAATTGAAATAAGTTTATTGATGTAAAATACACACAAAGGGATGAGGTAGCTCAAGCTATTCTCACCCCGTTCAGTACATCGTGTTAATACATACATATACACACACATTACAAACAATAAACATATTACCAAACATTCTGAGAGATAAACATATACATTTCCTCCTTCACAAGTAGTATGTTATCAGACGTACACACAAATACTTTTATGACGTGAGAGTCGACTTTAGTTCTGGAATGATTTTCACCTTCCGGTGTTGCATATTCTCCAATGCAGAATTATCTTGCTGAAGATGAGGTCTCTACGCTTGGATACAATAATACAAGTGATTTGTAAAGTTGAATATCCACCTACTTTTCCTTAAATTCAAAGGACTTTTTGACTATTTCTAGGCCTTCCCAACCGCATGGACTGGACGGTAGAGCGACGGTCTCGCTTCATGCAGGTCGGCGTTCAATTCCCGACCGTCCAAGTGGTTGGCCACCACTCCGTACCTTATGCCTATCCTAAATTCATATCCTCATATTTCCCCTCAAGTGCTCTATATAGTCTGAATGGCTCAGTGTTTTATCCTGATAATTACCTTAGCTTTGAACAAATCCACAAGGGCCGTGACGAGGATGCGAACCTAAGTCCCAGAGCATCCCAGACGCTGCCTTAATCGACTGAGCCAGCGTCTGGGATGCTCTCGGACGTAGGTTCGAATCCTCGTCACGGCCCTTTTGGCTTTGTTCATTTGATGCATCACGCTAAGGAGTAGAAGAGTAGATCTGGGAGTAGAAGAACTCCCAGAACCCCATCAACCAGCTAGTGTGATTTTTGTGTGTACCTCAGCTTAGGCCTTGACCATGTTGTGGTATGCCGCAGGTGGAAGGTCTCCAGGTGGAGGGGAAGTACCAGCTGCTGATGAGAGCCGTCAACGACAAGGGCTCCAGCAGCGCCACCCAGCTCACCGTGGCCAGCAGCGGCACCAACAACTCGGTCTACCAGCTGCACGGTCAGAGCTTCCCAACACCGTACATCACTCATTACACTGCCTCAGTCTTGCCAGCTTTGGCCGGGATTAATTATCTTGGGAAATGCAGGCGATGAGTCACAATAACGTGGCTAAAGTATGATGACCAGACCACACACTAGAAGGTGAAGGGACGACGACGTTTCGGTCCGTCCTGGACCATTCTCAAGTCGATTGTGGTCGTCGTCGTCCCTTTACATTCTAGTGTGTAGTCTGGTCATCATCTTGGGAAATGTCTGCTGGGAGAACGATATCTGAAATAATATGGGTGTTATTAAGTTAATTTAGCCAAGTGGGCACGGTACCCAAGAGTAACGGTAATTCAACCTTGAATCAACGTTGCTGTCACTATAGCTACTCCCGTAGCTATAGTTATAGCTCCCAAAGGGGAAAACGTTCTTAGAGTAACGTTTAATCAACGGAGATTCAACGTCTTTAGCGTTGAATCTTCGTCATATCAACCTCACTTGCCCAGATTTGCTGGGTGGTTGAGGGCAGAATTCTGTAGCTGGAGAATATCATTACAAAAACAAATCACCAAACCAGATGTATTTAATTTTTAATTAAACTATCTCCTTTCTGGTGAGACATTGGACTTTCTTGCCAGCCCTTGACCCTTGAGGTGTCATTCCTAGAATATTACCATCATCCCCTCGACCTTACACACCATGGGCCTCAAGCCAGCACTAATATTAGACTAGACTTGCCCTTGACAGTGCCATGAATGTATACTGAATTATTCCAATAGGGAAGATTCGACCGTAATCTGTATCTCAGAGGCACGATACCCCAAGAATGGCGTTGGTTCGACAGGCAACGTTATCAACGTTAGAATTGACGTTGAATTGACGTTTATTAGGTCCATTGAGTGTTGTGTTCTTACGCATGTGTTAATTATGTGAATACACTATTAATAATATGCTTCATAAAAGGCTATGTACCTCTAGTTATATTTATCCATTTGATTATTTTGTTTTCCAACTTATTCCAGAGAGGGACGTCCCATTGAGCGACAACAACTTATTTTTTCTTTCAATACCAGACGGGCCACTGGAAGCTGAGGTCCGGGACGGCGGGCAGACGGGCGTGGGCAGCGATGGCGGGGCAGCGGGCACCAACCACACTGCCTCCCTCTTCCCAAGCCTCGCCCTGCCCTCGCTCTTCATGGGGGCGCTGGGCACGGGCTCGGGGCTGGTGTTCGTGGTGATCGTCTCGCTGCTCTGCGTCGCCTACCACAAGAGGAGAGTGTCGCACCAGCCAGGCCCCCTGGCGGACCCCCTGCACCACACGGAGGCCAGGGACACCCCCAGGGGCGCCAGCAAGTGCACCCTCACCTCTCCTACACTGACCCCTGAGCATCATATCACCTGCCTAGAGAGGGACATGCAGGTCAGTTTATTGTGGCCTCATTAAGCCGCTGTTCAGTGTAATTTTCTGTGCGGAACTTGTGTATATAATGTAATCAAATAAGTCGCTATCCTTATCAATAATTCGAACATAATTTTTATATCAGGTGGCCCTTGATTGTCGCGAATTTGGATCGTAGGAATTTGAGCCTAAATGATTTTGTTAACACAGTTATCTGTGGATTCGTACATGTACGAGTTGGAACAATATGTGGAATCGTATGTACACAAGTTAGTACACGATGGGGATTCGTACGTTCACGAATATGTACGTAAAGAGGATTTGTACGTACATAAGATAGCACATAATGTAGATTTATACATACGCGTGTTGGTACAAAATGTGGGGTTTGGATGTTCGCGAGTTTGCACATAATGAGAATTCATTCGTATTTGAGTTAGTACATTGTACACAGTAAGCAACATGATTTTGTAATGTGTAAAGTTTTGTAATGTCTTGGTAATCAACATGATCTTGAGCCCCCCTCACAATTATCTTTGTGTTTTGTAGACTTTATAAACTACATTCTCGCAACACCTCGTCCCATCGAGGACAAGTCTATCCTTGTGCCAACGAAGGCACGAGGGCGCGTCTATTTTCGTTATATCGAAGATGTATCTATCCTAAGAGCTTCTCCCCCGAATCAACCTACCCTGGCTTTGCGCCCTGGTGAGGCCACTCCAGACCAGGCCTACGCCAGTGAGCAACTCCATAGTCTCCTGAGACTGATGGAGGCCTACTACTACTACTACTATCTATCCTCGTGCCATTGGGGGTCATCTGCAATATCCTGAAAAAAATATGAACTAAATCTGTATGTTTTATTGCTTGCATCTATTTCTACCTACTCATCTATCCCACGCAACTCCTCTCTCACTATAATCACTATCCGTTACCCCCCTGTCTTACTACCTCCACCATCCCTTTCTTCTATCCCTCAATATCTCCACCATCCCTTTCTTCCCTCCCTCACTATCTCCACCATCCCTTCTCTCACCTCTCCAGCAGCAGGGAGAGTCAGAGAGCGACGCCGACCCCGACGTGATACCTCTACAGGAAGCTCTCCCTGACGGGGGTGGCGGCGGCGGGAGGGAGGCGCCCCCAGCCGCCACTCTCCTGCCCTCAGATCGCTATATGTACGCCCCCGTCCCCGCCCACCTTCCCCGGAACATAGTTAGTGGTTCTTTGTTGTCTTCTGACTACACTGTGTTGCGTTGGTTGTGTCTGCGCGGGAAAATACCGTCTGCACAGCCTTCTTTTTTTTCCCTGCCTCATTTTAGAAAACCTTGTCATAGTACTCGATTATAGGTTCGTCTGCATGACTTTCCTTTGCTAAATCTATAGCTGCTCTTTTGTTACACAGTTGATCCTCTCCACCATTCTCAACCTGATTACTTTCTCCAGTACTGGACATGGAATGCTTGTCACTGACGCCGATTTGTAAGGTAGTGCCTCTTGTATAGCTCCGTTCTTGAATATTGGGACTGTGTATGCTTTTTTTTCCGGATTTCTGAGAGAATTCCTGCTGCGAGCATTTTATTTAAAAATCATAGATAATGGGTGACAAAGTACCTATGCAGCCTCCTTCAGCAGCCATGATGATATTAGGTCTGGTGCCATTGATTTTCTCACATTAAATTCCTCCAGGATTTTGTTTTACTTCACCTACAGTGACTACAATGTCATCCATTGTTTCTTCTGGCCTTTCATCCTGCATCCTTGGTCTCCATGCTGGTTCTGATGTAAAGACCTCCTGAAAACTTTTGTCCAATTCTTCACATGCCTCCTTATCATTTTCTGTGAGAATTCCACTTGTCTCCTCAATCTGAATACAAGGTCTCTCTCTCATTGTTTCACTTCCTATATGGATATACAAGAGCTTTGGCAGGTAATTACCTTTTGCTGCAATGTCATTTTCAATTTGCTTCTCGGCTTCTCACCTGACTCGGATGTATTAACTTCTGGTTCTCTTTAGTGTCTCAATATTGTTCTCTGTACTTTTTCTAGAATTTTCTTTGTCCATTCTTTAGTCTTCCAAAATTGAGAATTCAGCCACACTTGCTTACCTGCACCAGTGGACAGGTGTGGAGTGGCGTCGTAGGCTGGTGGAATATGGAGAAGGGAGAAACTATAATTAATTTGTAGATGAATAGGATGACATGGGTACAGGTCTAGTATGCTGCTCAACTTATGCTCCAGTATTCAGATAACACTTACAGAGTTAAGTGTTATCTCGACCCAGTGGGATGGAAATCAGTCAACGTGGAATATTCTGCAATATAATGTTTAAGAGTAAACTTATTCATGTTCTCTCTTTCACAAAGTTTACACTTCGTATATATGGAGCTTACATGTGTCCCGGGCGTGTCCTGGTCTTCACAGTATCACACAGTTCTACTGTTGTTACTCCTGTATAAAAACGGTTCATCGTGGTATTCATCACTGTATTTAATGTTACAGCTTTCTCGTCTTTGTGTTGTTGATTGGTCAGTATAATTGTCATCAGATAAGCATTTCAGTATTTTCTTGGTCATAACTAATGAAACTCGTTGATTAATATCCACTGATCTGATATAGGGCTGTTTTTTACAAGCGGCTCAGGTTATCTTGAGATGATTTCGGGGCTTTAGTGTCCCCGCGGCCCGGTCCTCGACCAGGCCTCCACCCCCAGGAAGCAGCCCGTGACAGCTGACTAACACCCAGGTACCTATTTTACTGCTAGGTAATAGGGGCATAGGGTGAAAGAAACTCTGCCCATTGTTTCTCGCCGGCGCCTGGGATCGAACCCAGGACCACAGGATCACAAGTCCAGCGTGCTGTCCGCTCGGCCGACCGGCTCCCTGGGTCAACCAGGGTCAGATACCGGGTCAACGGTATCACTTTTTTGAGATGCCAACATTACACAGTATCCAGATAAACTTAACCACCATTCTCTTTGGTTGCGGCAGCTACAACATTCATCCAAATGTCACCATTGTCTTGGCCTTACTTATGTGTATAGGTTGAGTTGGAGTCGTGATTGTCGAGTCGCAGACGCACGCCTCACTGCTTTGTGAGAGCGGGAGATACCTGGTTGATACCTGGTTGATGGGGTTCTGGGAGTTCTTCTACTCCCCAAGCCCGGCCCGAGGCCAGGTTTGACTTGTGAGAGTTTGGTCCACCAGGCTGTTGCTTGGAGCGGCCCGCAGGCCCACATACCCACCACAGCCCGGTTGGTCCGGCACTCCTTGAAGGAAACAATCTAGTTTCCTCTTGAAGATGTTCACGGTTGTTCCTGTAATATTTCTGATGCTCGCTGGTAGGACGTTGAACACCCGTGGACCTCTGATGTTCATACAGTGTTCTCTGATTGTGCCCATGGCACCCCTGCTCTTCACTGGTTCTATTCTGCATTTTCTTCCATGTCGTTCACTCCAGTATGTTGTTATTTTACTGTGTAGATTTGTGATGATGATCGCTAAATACGTCACAAACGTGTACAGTGGATCTTCCATCAGCTTCTTCTTCTTGTGTACGGTCAGCACAGTAACCGGACCAGACATTGTGATGTAGTCATTGTGCCAGTTGGTCTTTGTTTGTAGGCACATGTGACAAGTTAGTGAGGCTGAGCCATTACCAAAATACTCAGCCTGTAAACTCTGTGATGAACCTTTAAATCATTCACTTGAACACTATATTATTGAATGTGAAGCTGTAAAAAAGATTTTAGACCTCCTGGCCTGTTGTACAATCAACTGTGTAACTATTTCAATGAATCTGGTGTATTAGAAGACATCCTAACAATTTACTCTAAATTTGCTTGTCCAACCTATAAAATGAAGAACGAGAATTTGATTTATTTATTATTATTATTTTTAATTGTATTTATTTATTTTTTGAGCTGCATTCCTCATAAATCCATCCCAGCCTTGTGTGCCAATGAACAGTAGAAAGTTGCATTTACAAATTCGTAAAGTGAAGCATGTATAATATCTGACTTAGCAGCGTGTATAACCTCGTGAATTATGTATGTTTCAATCTGCAATTTAGGCTTGATGTCTTGTGCACGATTCTGAGTCCTGTGCGGCAGTGAATACGAGTATTCACTGCCATGTAATGTATTCACTGCCTCACTGTAATGAGACCTAGTTGAATTACTCAGATGAGGCAAAATTGTATATTTTGTCAATATAGATGTCGATAATATTTTTTGTATAATAATTTAGATGTCGATAATATTTTTTGTATAATAATTTTAGGTCATCAATACATTTTAACACTGATACGTGGTTATTATCCATAACTTGAGCACTCTCACCAATGGTTTTTAGTATTTAAATATTTAATAATTAAATATTATTTTTAATAATTATTAATAACACTTAATATTCACTAATAATTTGGTAATAGCATGTACTCTATGTGTCTTAGAGGCATTTGTGAAGTCTGTAGCTTGGTCCTAGTTTTCCCGCGAGTAATAGCTGGTTGGCATATTTAAATTTATGGTTATATTAGTTATGTTAGAAAGCCTAAGTCCATAATAAAATGTAGTTTTTTTTTAATATTTGTTGTAAAGTGTTTTATGTTTAGAGATGATATATAGTCATGAATATGGATATATATTATGTGTATATATACATATGTATATTCTGATGCTGTAATATGCGCTTTGTTCTGTTAAAGGAGATAAGTATCTTATCTTTGTGTGTTGTTGTCACAGCCGCCATGTCCTTCCCAGTACAACGTCCTCGGGGTCCTGCAGGGAACGCCCCCCATGTCATCTGGCCAGGCTGGGGACCTCCCCGAGCCCTCCTACCACCACCACCACCTCCACCACAACACACCACCACACACCATCACAACCACACACTATCACCACCATGTTTCCCCACCACCACACACCACCACCACACTACACCACAAACGCCCGTCACTGCCATCAGCACTGCAGCACACAAATCCCTACTATACAGACTCACTAGTCGCTACAAACCAACAGCACCATCCACTACCACCACCACCACCACCACACCACCACGACGACCACCACCAAGCTTATCTCCACCAACAAGCAGGCTCGACCACTCTACCGAAGAGGACGACCCTCAGACCAGCCCCGCCAGCCATCTACAGCTACGCCCCCACCACCAACCCACACCACTTGCCCTGTCCGGATGTGGAGGGTAGCCTCCCGCCCCCTGCAGAGTACCTGGACCCGGAGAGGAAACGGGTAACCTTCTCCAGACAAGCCAGCTATGAGGAAGACACGCCCAGCACCCCGCTTCTCAAGAAGGGAGAGAGCTCAGTTTGATGCTCTGCTTTAAATACTCCATGTTTGTTATTTTGTATCGAATAATTCCAGTGATGCCGTGCCGATGGCGGTGTTTTTTACAAGTCGAAGATCACGTGAAAGGACGGCAGTATAAATTAATTTTTGAATTATAAGGGAAATCCACTTTGAGTGTTAAACATATTTGATGTCGTCAAAGAAAATTATATATTTTGCATCTAATCGCTTACTTATTTTTAATTCAGAATTTATAAATATACAGTATAAAAATCATGACTTTAATGGGGGAAGTTTTATTTTATGAGTTATTTGTGTCTAATGTTATATATATATATATATATATATATATATATATATATATATATATATATATATATATATATATATATATATATATATATATATATATATATATATATATATATATATATATATATATATATATATATATTATACCAGAGTGTATACAATACTTATAAAGAAAAGCAAATCCAGTGTGACAAGGGAGCAAAGCTTTGTGACGAAAGTTTTGGGTCGTATAACTAGGTTGAGATCTCAGTACGTGACACAACTCCAGAGAGTGACAGATCTCAGCACGTGACACAACTCCAGAGAGTGACAGATCTCAGTACGTGACACAACTCCAGAGAGTGACAGATCTCAGTACGTGACACAACTCCAGAGAGTGACAGATCTCAGTACGTGACAACTCCAGAGAGTGACAGATCTCAGTACGTGACACAACTCCAGAGAGTGACAGATCTCAGTACGTGACACAACTCCAGAGAGTGACAGATCTCAGCACGTGACACAACTCCAGAGAGTGACAGATCTCAGTACGTGACACAACTCCAGAGAGTGACAGATCTCAGCACGTGACACAACTCCAGAGAGTGACAGATCTCAGTACGTGACACAACTCCAGAGAGTGACAGATCTCAGTACGTGACACAACTCCAGAGAGTGACACATCTCAGTACGTGACACAACTCCAGAGAGTGACAGATCTCAGTACGTGACACAACTCCAGAGAGTGACAGATCTCAGCACGTGACACAACTCCAGAGAGTGACAGATCTCAGTACGTGACACAACTCCAGAGAGTGACAGATCTCAGTACGTGACACAACTCCAGAGAGTGACAGATCTTAGTACGTGACACAACTCCAGAGAGTGACAGTTCTCAGCACGTGACACAACTCCAGAGAGTGACACATCTCAGTACGTGACACAACTCCAGAGAGTGACAGATCTCAGTACGTGACACAACTCCAGAGAGTGACAGATCTCAGCACGTGACACAACTCCAGAGAGTGACAGATCTTAGTACGTGACACAACTCCAGAGAGTGACAGATCTCAGCACGTGACACAACTCCAGAGAGTGACAGATCTCAGTGCGTGACACAACTCCAGAGAGTGACAGATCTCAGCACGTGACACAACTCCAGAGAGTGACACATCTCAGTACGTGACACAACTCCAGAGAGTGACAGATCTCAGTACGTGACACATCTCTGCACGTAGCACGCTCCTTGTGCCTTGTATACGTAGTAAAATGACATACACGTGTGTCCTCCTTGCCGGAGTCCTCAGAAGACAGTCTTTCTTGGATACTTTCTTGGATATTAAGACAACAATACTCAAATATCCTAATTTCTGAAGGTAATAAGACCATTGAAGACAGAGTCAAATGGACTAGAAGATATGATCCATTTCTTTAGAAATTCTGAAGGGATTAAACTAAAGCCACTTTTTCAAAGTACATATTTAAAATAGTACTGGTCATCTGTGTTATGATTCACTCCCAGTTGCTTTAAACCAACAACATATGTTATGTTTTGTGACATAAAACGTGTCTTGTAAACGTCTAGGTGTCTTGTAATTACATTAAACACATTCATTTTGTAAAATACTTTATGATTTCTCAACTTTATTCTCAATGTATGTGAAAGGTGATGCAATATTGCCATTATCCTCTGCTACCCTTACAATTATTACCCTTGAGTTCACTGCGGAAGTTCTGTAAATATAGTTTATTTTTTACAACTTATCTATATATAATGTATATAACTACAATATAACGCGGATAAAATAATTTTGTATTACCAAGAGCTGACAGGCAGTGCTTAATTCAATGCAAAACCAATTATTTTAATTTTGTTAAAGTGGTATTTGACCTAATAGGGATTAACAGTGATATAATTACCTTTTATACGTTTTAATACTGTATAACATATCGTCAATGTAGCAGGATCAGAGTAATAAAGGTGTGACAAAGCAAAATTTGTCATTTTGAAGTTCATCAATTTATTTAAACCTTATCACGTTAGGAAACAAACCATGTGCTGACCAACTGTTCTGGTGACAGCCTTGGTAACGAGCAGCCAGATTCACGAAAGCATTTACGCAAACACCTACGAACCTGTACATCTTTTCTCAATCTTTGGCGGCTTTGTTTACAATTATTAAACAGTTAATGAGTTCCGAAGCACCAGGAGGCTGTTTATAACAATAACAACAGTTGAATGGGAAGTTTTCATGCTTGTAAACTGTTTAATAAATGTAACCAAAGCCGTCAAAGATTGAGGAAAGATGTACACGTTCGTAAGTGCTTGCGTAAGTTCTTTCGTGAATCTGGCCCGAGGCGTCGTAGAGTGTTGCCAACAGCAATTTGCCTGATTCCCCCTCATCCTTATTAAATGTATAGAGGGAAACATATGTATATACACATACAAATATGTATGTGTATATACATATACATACAAATATGTATATACACATACATATTTGTTAATTCCTTCGTGTGTGTAAGTCACGAAGGAATTAACACGTGATGAACAATGTGACAATATCAGACCATGAAGCAAGGATTAGGACAGGAAATTCCTTTATTAAATACGAAAGTACTTAAGGAATTCCCTGTCTTAATCTTTCCTTCGTGGTCTGACATTGTCAGACATATTTATGTACTATGTATTGATTTTATACAGTATTTCTGGCCATATTATTACATTACAGTTATTTATTTTTAGTTTATTACAGTTATTCCTGGCTAAGCACCGTCCTCCTGAGACACAGTACCACCGTCCTCCTGAGACACAGTACCACCGTCCTCCTGAGACACAGTACCACCGTCCTCCTGAGACACAGTACCACCGTCCTCCTGAGACACAGTACCACCGTCCTCCTGAGACACAGTACCACCGTCCTCCTGAGACACAGTACCACCGTCCTCCTGAGACACAGTACCACCGTCCTCCTGAGACACAGTACCACCGTCCTCCTGAGACACAGTACCACCGTCCTCCTGAGACACAGTACCACCGTCCTCCTGAGACACAGTACCACCGTCCTCCTGAGACACAGTACCACCGTCCTCCTGAGACACAGTACCACCGTCCTCCTGAGACACAGTACCACCGTCCTCCTGAGACACAGTACCACCGTCCTCCTGAGACACAGTACCACCGTCCTCCTGAGACACAGTACCACCGTCCTCCTGAGACACAGTACCACCGTCCTCCTGAGACACAGTACCACCGTCCTCCTGAGACACAGTACCACCGTCCTCCTGAGACACAGTACCACCGTCCTCCTGAGACACAGTACCACCGTCCTCCTGAGACACAGTACCACCGTCCTCCTGAGACACAGTACCACCGTCCTCCTGAGACACAGTACCACCGTCCTCCTGAGACACAGTACCACCGTCCTCCTGAGACACAGTACCACCGTCGCCACCTTCACCTGCCACTGTCAACCTTCCAGCACAGTTAGCAATGACGTCACTAAGGAAGGTCTGGCTACATTAAAATATCCAGCACATGGAACCCCGAACGTGCAGATCCGACTGCAGTCTCGGGCGTTCAGGTGGAGTCGCCCTGCAGCTCTGGAAGTACAGTAAACAACCAGTCTGGGACTACAGCACTTCATCTACACTTCCCCCTTCACCCTGTCTACAGTATCGTGTATCTGAAGGTGGTGAAGCTGCTACATTCAGGGAGACGCAGAGGACCGGTAAGTACAGGGTCGAAGTTCACTGGTTCGTGTCAACAGACTCAGAGACACTTGGCGCCTGGGGGGTAAGTAAACTACACTTCAGTTTCCGAAGGAGTTCTGAGAAGAGCTTCTATGGCAAACCAGAAACCCTAGAGCCCCCGCCATCACAGGCGCTGGAAGATATCTTTGATCTTTAAACTGAAAATTGCCATGTACACTCGTCTGAAGGTGAACATGTAACATTAAGATCATGGATTCATCACTCTGACAACGACGTTATAAAAGAATTGGAACTTTGATATCCAGCAATGATCCTGTCAGAACATTGAAAGTTATCTTTGATTCAGTCAAGTTATACCCAGTTTATAGAAGCACTCTTTGCATAGAAGAAATGTAATTTTACTGCCGTTACTCTCCAAGTTGGTAAATTCAGGAACGAAAAAATATCTTACAAGGATCTCAAGCTATAATTGTTTTGTGGAGTCGTTGTTTAAGGTGGCAGAATGATGCATCTATGACCACAAGGTCGTGCGCTCGCTTTCAGGTGAGTGATGATTGTTAGATTTCATTTACGATATTGTGTAAATTCATTTCCTTTCCAGGAAAACCAGACCAGAACAGCCCAATTCTTAATTATGGTGAGAAATTTCATTTTGGAGCACAGCGTTTCCTGAGCTATACTCGAGGCATCATGTTTCCCCTCACAGTTTAGGCATTTGGCCTTTTCCGGTTTGTTGACATTGATTTTCTCAGTTGTGCCTCATATTTTCGGCTTTGTATTCAGCGCTCTGGGTTCTGTGACACCTGGTCCTTTGGACTGTTCTCCCGAATGTACCTAAGGGCCATCATCATTTGAACTACAGCAATGTCTTGTCATTTACCTGTTTGGCGGATAGGCGGTTCAATGGATTTATAACCCTATGGGTGAAAAAGCATCTCCTGTTTTCTCTAAATACATATTAGCTTGCTGAGGTTGAAGCCGTTGCTACTTATATTATGGGCTCTGATTCTGTGACGTGTACCCTGGACACTGTGTGCCGGGGCCTCTTTTTTTTCAGGTATTCTGAAAACCCCCCTCGGCTTTGTGCTTTGGGGTCTCACTTAATTCGAGATGACTGCCTCTGGATTCCAATTTGTCTAGTCCGGTGGTCTAGTTTGACTGCTTTGGCCGCCTGGGTTGGCTTTCGTGCCTCTTCCACTGTATGAATTGTCCCCGTTTCTGCCAGAGAGTTACCTGGGGTCTGTATGAAAAATGAGGACTTATGTTCAACTTGGGTCTTTAACCTTACGTTGTCTTTTTCCGGTTGTCCCCTTGTTTTACGGG